GGGGGTGGGGGCCGGGGGGGCCCCCCCCCCCCCCCCCCCCCCCCCCCCCCCCTTTTCCCGGTGCGGGACCCCGTCGTTCCACTCCACGGGGACACCGATGCTGCCTTCGGGATCACACAATTAAGACAATAACGGGTTAAAAACATCCCACGAAAAGGGTTTTTTGTTGCGAAAACATTGAGCCGTCCTTTTTGTCCCCTTCTCTTTTGTCCCCCAGGCCCCCCGGGGGGGGGGGGGGGGGGGAGCTCCCATTATTCCCTGCCCAAGCTGGGTTTTCCAATCCGGGATAAGTGTCCCAGGCTATCCAATACGGGATAACCTCCAGCGTCGCTGGGGTTTTCTCTGCTTGCATCCATGACCCTCCCTCGGGGGGACGAACCCCCCGTCTGCCCCGACTCAATTTTACCTTGGTAGGAGGAGAAAGATGGGGACGGGGACAACAAACTGGAGACCGGCTCCAGTAAAAGGAATGATGTGGGGTTTTAATTGCTGGGGATGTGGCGGGATAAAGGGTTCTCTTCCCCCCAAAACAGCTTTTTTGCCTTACTTTGGCCCAAATAATCCCTGGTTTTGACTGGTCAGTTAGCAGCTGGGGAGGGCGGTGTCCCCTGTCCCCAAGTCCCCGAGCAGGGACGGCCATCAGCTGGGCGAGGGGACCGTCATCCCCCCAGGGGGTGCAGCGGGGCAGGATGCGGCCCGGGATGGGATGCAGGAGGGTCTGGGCCTCATCCTGCAGGGCGCTGGGGATGATCCTGGGATCGCTACGTGGTGGGTGGGTATCAATAACCTCTGCGGGATGAAACGGGTCCACCCTTGGGGTTAGGTGGGACAACTCGACGGCCACTGGCCTGTGCCTCAGTTTCCCTCGGACACCTTGGCGTGGAGAACAGTTGTGCCTGCAGCTGGGACCAGGGTGCTGTGTGCCTTGGTGCCTGTCCCCGTCCTAACCCCGACCTCCCGGCCCTGACCATGACCCCACCGGTGTTAACCCCGACTCTCGCCTGGGCGCCCTAAATGTCCTTGTCCCTCCCGTGCTGCAGCTGCAGCAGCCACGAGGTGGCAGGGCTCAGAGGCCAGGGCCTCATCCTGCGGTGGGCTCAGCACCCCATTGCCACCCAACCGGCTACCGCTCGGTGCCGGTGATGCCTTTTCCATGCGCCGGGATGGCGGGCCTCGTCCTCGAGCTGGTGACGCTCCTCGCCACGTGCCGGGCGCGAATGTCACCTCCTGCGGCACGAAGCCAGCTGCAATCCAGCGACCGAGGGCTTGCGGGACCATCAAAAAAATCCCTACAAATATATATATATATATATATGGCTTTTTGCAGGAATGGCGAGCCCTCCCCACGCTCCGGGGAG